ACGCCGTGTCCACATGAATCGAAGCCTCGCGACGCGTTTTTGGTGTAGGGGACACTGCAAAAAAGAGTCGGACACGCTTCCGCGAAGTGTCGTAGCAGTGTCGGTGTCCCAAACGTCCGCGACACTCCGACACGGATGAGGGGAGCTGTGTCGGTGCTTCACAGCTTGAAGGGATTTTTGAATTTGAAATTGTAGTACAAAACACTTGCATGCGCATAAGCCCTAACAAGGAATTTCCTTAGTACAAACTTCAGCAATTTAGTACAAAATCAATCTGAATCTGTCACTTCCTATTGAAGAGATACACAATAAAAAAATAAATGATATCACCAATTTATTTGTGAAGATCTTCCAAGCATAATGATTAATCGTTGATAGCTGAGTAGAGTATAATTTCTAGTTACCAAATAATAGAAGACAAGAATTTAAAATTATTCATAATTATCAATATTTATACTCAAGTATTGATAGTTTAAAGATACAACACTATCATTAACAATAATAAATCAATTATATTCTGCCTAATCCTAAGTTTTTAGGATGCATGATATATTTTCCTTTTCATTTATCCTTGTTCGTGATCATAGTTTGGTGATGCAACTTAATCATAAAGGTCCAACCGGTTGAAATCGCACAGCGGAATGTTTGCGAGGATAAAATAAAAAAGGGGGTGAATTGGTTTATTTATAAAAGTTATCACTTTAAAAACTTTTCGCAAAATTTAACCGATTAAACAACAAGATTTAAAGTTAAAAGAGCCAACGGCTATATATAGAGAACATCTCCAACGACTATAAACACAAGATTTGGAATGAGTTTAGATGAGTTTCTAAGTCCTCCTATATATAGAGAACATCTACAACGACTATAAACACAAGATTTAAAGTCAAAAGAGCCATTACCAACGGCTAGTTAATCCCCAACGACACAGAATAATTGATTATCACTTGAGATAATCGATTTTTTCTTCATCAGCTGTCAAGAAAATTTCCAGAGATGCATGGATAATCAATTATCATTGAGGATAATCGATTATGTAAGCATGAATAATCGATTATCACTTGAAATAATCGATTGTTCCAGAGAGTTTGGCAAAATTTTCATAGAAGTTAGGATAATTGATTATTACCTAAGATAATCGATTATTCCAGAGAGGTTGACAATTTTAATATGTATGAGACACAAAATAATCGATTATTTCTTAAGATAATCGATTATTCCAGTACGAAATACAAAGATTTTACAATTTTACAGAGTTTAAGCTATTTCTAATATTCCTAAGTCTCTTCTAAGTTCATAGAGTCTATCCTTGGGGAGATGTTTGGTAAATATGTCTGCTAATTGATGTTTTGTATTTATATATTCAATTTTACAATTTTCTTTAGAAATATGATCTCTTAAAAAGTGATACCTAATTTCAATATGCTTAGCACTAGAGTGCCTAATAGGATTCTTAGTAAGATTAATTGCACTTGTATTATCACATTTCAAAGGAATGTCCTTAAGAAAAATATTATAATCTTCTAGTTGTTGCTTCATCCAAAGAATTTGAGCACAACAATTTTCAGCCGTTATATATTCGGCCTCAGTTGTGGATAAGGCATCACATACTTGTTTCTTAGAATGTCAAGATACTAAGGAAGATCCTAATAAATGACATGTTCCACTAGTACTTTTTTTATCTATTTTACAGCCCCATAGTCTGCATCAGAAAATCCTACTAAACTAGGTGAAACTCTAGAAGGATACCATAAACCAAATCCTGTGGTTCCTTTCAGATATTTTAAAATTCTTTTTACTACAGTTAAATGAGATTCTTTTTGACATGTTTGAAATCTAGCACACACACAAACAAATTGCATAATATCAGGTCTACTTGCAGTTAAGTATAATAGAGAGCCTATCATACCTCTATATATTGATTGATTTATTTTCAAACCTGATTCGTCCTTATCCACCAGTGATAATCGATTATTCTAGGTGATAATCGATTATCATAAAACGTTTTTGTTAAAAATGAACTTTTAATTGTCAGACTGTGTGTTGACTATCTTGGACTCTATTTTTACACTCAAAATGATAAAACAAAGTTATTACAAACAAATACAATTGTATATAAATCTTCTAATCTTGAAGTCTTTTGTTTTTTAATCATCATCAAAACCTTCAGGCATTATACCCTTGTATTTTCAACAATCAATGATAATCGATTATCCATGCATCTCTAGAAATTTTCTGGGCAGCTGATAAAGAAATAATCGATTATCTCAAGTGATAATCGATTATTTCTTTGTTGTTGGGATTAACTAGTTGTTGGTAATGATTCTTTTGGCTTTAAATCTTGTGTTTATAGTCGTTGGAGATGTTCTCTATATATAGGAGGACTTAAAAACTCATCCAAACTCATTCCAAGCCTCTTTTTCAAGTATTCTCCATTGATTCAAAGTTTTTCTCTCTTTCTCATATTATTCCTTATTTCCTTTCAAATCTCCATCCTCTCTAAAAAATGGCTTCCTCATCCAGAAGAAAGATCCCCACCAGGAGAAGATCTGCTCCTGCCTCTCAACCTTGTCCAAATTCTGTTGAAGGATGAATATCTGATGAGGAAAAGAGACAAGAGTTTCTTACTTTTTGGAAGGAAAGGATCACTCCAAAATTCTTGAAAAGGGATCAATTCATCAATCGGGAATTCCATTTCCCAAATTTACTTGAAAACCAAGGTGTCTTACCCTTCATTGAAATGGAAGGGACGTACTATCCTGACTTGGTACGTGTATTTTATTCTCGTTTTAAATACAGAGATCATGTTGCTACCTCTCGAGTAAAAGGCGTCACCATCATCCTTGATGATGATATATGGGAAAATGTAGCTAAATTTCCCATTCAAGATGATGCCGTCAATGTCCTGATGGATCTAGACGACTTTAACAGAATTATGGCATACCGTTCCTTCCTCTGCAATCCTGCCATAGAGATTGGCAGACAGCTTCTTGCAAGACCACTAAAGAAAGAAGAACGAATGCTTCTTCATCTTATAGTATGGATCCTCTGTCCTTGGGTCACCAATCATGCTTAGTGTTCTACTGCTAATCTTTGTATAATCCATGCGATTATGAACAATGAGCCAATTTATTGGCCTAGCCTTGTTATTTTAACGATGCTCAAAACCAAGCAACATCCTACCTTTAGGATTCCTTATGCTCTTCTCATCTCCCGAATTTTGGAATACAAGGGAGTTAATTTTGAAGGAGAACAAAGATTCTGGACATTGAATTCCAATCGGATGCTTGATGGAACATTATCTCAGCTTCAAATGGTCAATGTTAATGGAACCTACTTCCATAAGGATGATGCACTCCATGCTGCTGAGGTTGCTGAAGATTTTGAAAATGAAGAAATGGTTGCTGCTGATACTCATGTCGGAGGGACTTCATCTGGTGCCCAGACTGAAGCCCACTCCTCCATTGAAGATATGATTTTCAGCATGAACCAAAGAATGCAAGACTTCTTTTCCATCTCTGCAAAACGACATCAGGAAATTATCAATCGCATTTAGAATGTGGATGAACGTGTGTTAAATCTAGAAGACAGATTTGACATGAAATTTAATAGAGATTCCGAAAGCGAAGAATTTTAGAATTTTTGTATTCATAGGCTTAGCAATTTTTCTTTTCTCTTTTCCATATTGTGTATTGATTTTGATAAACTTAAATAAATATCTATCTTTGCATATATTAAGGGGGAGTTGATTATTTTTTGTGCATATATTGAGAGGGAGCTTATATTCCTTTTTATTATGATAAAATAGAGGGAGAAAATACTTAAAGCCTAGTATGTTTAATATTTTTCTATGATAGCTATGACAAAAAAATAGGTTATTACAAAGGGCTTTAAAGTAGATTTTGATCATCATAAAAAAGGGAGAGATTGTTGAAAATACAAGGGTATGATGCTTGAAGGTTTTGATAATGATTCAAAGACAAAGGTCTTCGAGATTAGAAGACTTATATACAATTGTATTTGTTTGTAATAACTTTATTTTATCATTTTGAGTCTGTAAAAATAGAGTCCAAGATAGCCAACACATAATCTGACTATTGAAAGTTCATTTTTAACAAAAACGCTCTGTGATAATCGATTATCCTACTTAAAAATAGATTTGTGAAAATCACTAGTGATAATCGATTATCGTAGTTAAACCTGGGTTTCTAAAAGTCACTGGAATAATTGATTATCCTAGTCAAATTTTGTCTTCTGTGAAAGTAGCTCTGTAATAGTCGATTATCATTTATGATAATCGATTATTTGTGTTAGTATGATTTTGAAATTCAAATTTCAAACCTATTTTCGAAAACCCCTAATTTCAAAACCCTAAAATCTCTATTTATGGAGCTCTCTGTAAAGTACAACATTTTTCATACTAAAGTTTAAAGCTGTGATTGTTGAGAGAACTTTGAGTAGGAAAGAAAAAGGGGTTTTTGTAACTTAGTGTGGGCTAGAAGCGATAAGAATCACTAAGTGAGTTTCTTGGTGGATTGTGTGTTGTGTGTTATGTCGTCTCTAGGAAAAGGTCTTCATCCTTTGTGGCTTCAAAGAGGTGTTAATCTCTTGTGTGACTCAAGAGAGGTGTTTTCTAATCCTTATTACTTGAAATCTGTTTGAACTATTGTTTTAGTGACTAGGATAATCCTCTTTTAGAGTGATTAACAATTGGACGTAAGATCTTTTTATCTGAACCAGTATAAATTTACCCGTGTAATTTTCTTTTTCTTATCTCTTTACATTTAATTTGTTGTTTAATCGGTTTAATCTTACGAAAAGTTTTTAAAGTGATAACTTCTATAAAGAAACCAATCCACCCCCTTTTGTATTTTCATTTATCCTTGTTCGTGTTCATAGTTTGGTGATGCAACTTAATCATAAAAGGTCCAACCTGTTGTTCTATTGCATTTTATTTGGCAATATTTTATATTTCTTGCTAGGTTTCTTGCAAAAGAGTAATGGAAATGAAGCAAGATCTTGAAATTTTGGATTCAAAAGCAAAATCCTCAAGTGAATTCTTGTATAAATACTGCAAGATGGAAGGGGATCAAAGCTATAGCAACATCATGAAAGCCATTTCGGATTATTTGCAGAAGAGAATGCCTTGCAAGTCTATACTCCAGAATTTGAAGGTCTCGTGACTTTAAATATTGTTATTGTGGACATGCAAGATATAATATCATTTTCTAAATTCTGACAAGCACCCTGTGTACTTTTTTCTCCCAGTTGTGGGAAATTGAAGATTTTGAGCGCAAGGATGGTTGTTACAGAGTTTTTCTCAACTATTGTGGTTATATTACCCAAAGGTTAGTCAATGATGCTTTGTATCTTTATTTTTTGTGATTAAGTATATTTTTTATGATATGACTAAATATGCTAGTTCCTACTTATTTTGATGGAATTTAGGATCACGGTAAATACTGGTCAATCTAGCATAATAATATCAAATTGCTTGAATGATGTGAAGATCGGGAAGGTAATGTAATTAATTGGTTGACTGTTTATCTGTTTTATAACAATATTCAATGTTCGTACCATTTTTTTTCTAAAACGTTTGTGTTCTCATCAGAACTTCCCAAACTCGGATGCATTTTCTGCATTTGAGTTTGTCTTAGATCCTCGTACGACTAAGAAATGCACCGGTTCAAGCAGTATGGCACGAGAAACGCAGGTTGGTTACTTTATTTCTTACGATAATTTTCTTGTAGTAAGTTAATTTTGTTTTTTATTTCATATTTTCTGTCCTTTTGGAGGGATTACAACATTTGATGCTACTAATGATCCTGATGGCGGTCAACAATTACATTTTTATTTCAATATGATTCATATGGCCCTAGAGTTTTAGACTAATGCTATGGATCAATTATCAAAAAGTAGCAAATGATGAATACTGTTTTCCGACATTCTGTTGTCATAATACGCAGATAACAAGTTCACTACTGAGTAATTTGCTAGATGTGGTGGAGGAGGTTCAATCAGCCCGGATTGAGGTTAGAAACTTGGTCGAGGCAAAGTTCTACTCTCATTCAGGTAAACAAAAATTTTCTTCACACTTTTAAATTCCGTTCTCATTACAGCCTTGGAGTTAGATCCTCATTTTGTGCAGAAAATTCTTCCAATATTTGATTGGAAGTTGATGCTACCTTTCATCTTCACTTTAATTCATACTTCTTTTGCAGTTCTGCGCCTTGATTTGCAGCTGTCCTTCATTGATTTCTATAGTGGGAGGAAGCTGAAAGTGACCTTTGATATAACATGCTTAAAATGGTAAACTTTTTCATCTTTTTTTTTTTAAATTCTATTTCCGATCTTCATCGAATTTGTATTGATACATCTCCATATTTACCCTTAGAAATTATTATTGTTATTGGCCGAAATATGTTTTATGATTCCTTCAAATCTAGTGTTGTTTCTTTGTGTTTTTTAGTTGTTGTATTTTATTCTTTCTATTCTTGCAATGTTATTCCATACCTTTTTTGGTACCTGTCATAAAGCAATTTTGGGACCTTTTTTTTTAATGTACCTTTTTATGATTACCCAAAAACCCTTAGTCCCAAAAATAAGTGACGACGGATATTACAGGATCACAAAGTAATTTCAGAAACTATACAAAAAATCATTATATCTGCAGGAACGTATTATTATTATTATTATTATTATTATTATTATTTTGCAACTGTACTTTAATATTGTGATGATTGGTTTCAACTATGTTCATTGATCTGATTTTAGTATTATTTCTACATTATAGTTTTTTTGCCATAATGTTGCTACTATCCTTACGTGAGCTCACGTTAATCTTTGGTTAAATGTGTTTGTATTTGCAATTAAAGATGCTGATTGATTTGAAAAATGGTTTGTGCAGTGGGGTGTATCCTGCTGAGATCCTTCCATCTCAAATTTATGATCCTTCTAGTTCAAGTGGGGAACACAAGTCTCTGCCATCATCGCTTGTAGATGAAATTAGAACTGCAACAGCGAGTGTGAGAGTCGGGTACTCAAGAATTATTAGGCTTTGTAGAAGTATTTCCCATGCAGTTCAGGCTTGCCATAAAAGCAAATCATTGTGAACTTTCTTTAATTGTTACCAATATTAGATTTATTGTTCATTTGTTTCATCTTGTATATCTTGAGTCAATGCTCTTGTAGCATGTAAAATGGGTAATGCGAGATTGAGTTTTATATATATATGTGTGTGTGTTGAATTTTGTAAAGGAACGTTCTTTAACTTCAAAAAAATTTTTTAAAGAGATGTTCTTAGATTTTACTTTTGTCCGTATGGTTTTGATTGTCACGGGCGTACATAAAACAGAATAGGATGGTAATTAGTGAAACCCAAATCAGAAACCAAAGAAAATTATTATTATTATTATTATTTATGTATTTATTTTGGTACACATGTAACCCATCGGGATGATTCGGAATATAATGAGGTTTAGTAGCTGGAGGTTGTTACCAGAGTAAGATTGTGATTTGCGAGAATGTAATGGATTTATAGATTTATTGTAACATGACTTCTCATTATAACATGTCCTACGAAAGGAGAAAAATATAGGATATATGAACGATAGAATACAAATACTGCGATTGAGAAAAATGAAAAAAAAAAAGGAATTAAATCAAATTAATTTAGGGTTGTCACGAAATTGAAATCCCACACTGAAAGGGGAATGAATTTTTGCGATGACTTGATATGATAGGTTTTACATTTTTTTTATTATCAATTGCTTTATTCAAGTGTTTACCTGTTATGAGGTTAACGTATGAGGTGAATCAGCAGTACATGGGGCCAGTTTCTGATTTGAAAAGTACATTGCAGTCAATAAATTCGTTGGTTATCTTAATTTATTCCATGACAATCAATAGACAAGCCATATCTATTCTTTCTGTTAGTCCCTTCTAGTCCTGTTCTGACAGTAATTAAAACAGTGTTTCCACAAAATCATAATTAGTCTACTGTGCTTTTGAAATTGCAATTTGGTGAAGCGTACGGTCTAAATTCCATGAAAAGCTGTCATAAAGTTTACCATAAAATGTATTAAATTAGTTAAGAAATCATAGAAGTTCTACCAAACACTCATAGTGGATGTCTAAACTGCACGCAGCATGATAGCATGCTGCATGTATTTCGCACAACACAACTTCCCCAGACTTTTCAAAAAGCCAAAAAATGTGTAACACATTACTTCTACGGAAGAAGTTCCAGCAATAAAGGAAGATATTTTAAACCCATCCTTTCCCTATTATCAAATTATAATACTGTCAAATTTAGTTATAAACCAAGAATAGGGCAAAACAAAGTTATACATATAAACATAAGTGCATTGTTTGTCACAAAAAAGATCTCAGCAAAATGACTGGGACATCAAAACATGATCCCGAGAAATAATGCAGTTTTTAACTTTCTCCTTGCTTGTGTTTATCTATTTGCTTGATAATCTATGTTGTGGTTACAGTGCTTTCATGCTTTATTCTTTTCTCAAGTGATATCCAACTTGTGTGCATTCCCTAATTAATGGTAGTATAAAGCAAGCTAAAGGTGGTTTAGTGCGCATCATATGATACATACACTACTCAAACAATGAAAAACATATTCATAGAAGCATATGCATAGCCTTTTTCCTGATTCACTTGCGTGTACTTTGAAGAACAGGCTAAACAAATTCAGCAATTTCTGACAAAACAAAGGGTATGACAAATTAATAATGATAATGGAGAAGGCATGGTGCAGAGAAAAGATGATTGATTGAGATTTGGTATTTTCAGTTAAGCATTCACCAGAATCATGAATATTATTCTACAATTGCTCAGTTTGTGGTGGTTTTGTTAGTAAAGATTTAAAAATTTACTCTTTTTCATTTTTGTTGAACGGAAAACCAATTTGTTACTCTCACACCGGAAGTGAAAAATCAAAGCAGAAATAATATCCAAAAGCTTTCATCCATGCTTCAAGCAAAGTAATTGTTCTGGAAAAAAATATATGTATTGTCAAAATGCAAAAGTCAGATTCTTAACTTTTGAGCTAATAATTGAAGCTTTTATCAAGTACTGAAAAGGTTATTTGACTATTAATAGACAAGCACCACAATAATAACTTTACCCTTTTATACTTTTATTCAATATTATCGTCAAAGACCAAACCACCATCTCATGACCATATATTGTCCTAGAATGCAACAACATTGCCTAAAATAATTCAGAAGTTGATGTAATGCCTCTTTTTTTTTATGTTAAGGATTTCACGTACGCTGAAATTTATTATTGATTAGTGATATAATCATAATATAACATATAAATAAAGTATTAATCGTCTTATATGTGAGTATTAAAAAATTGCATGACACGAGTAGTAATTCATAAAAAAATAGATAAAATATGAAAATTTCTATTGGTACGAGACTATTAAAATTCAGAATAATTTTCACATAACACGTGATTAGATATTGTTAATTTATTCTTATAACTTGAATATATATCATCATATGAAGATTAATCGAGATTATAAATACATGACATAGTTGGAAATTATCTTAGAATTTGTTGGAATGTCCTCAACCATTATATAGAGCTGTGAATAGTTATTGAGGAACTGAGAGGGGTTTAGGCAAAGGTTGATGAGTGTCAATTGGAGTTGAGACCAACTTGCAATCAACAGAGATTGTTGGAGAAGAATTGTTAATGATGTTGTTTCCTTCTTCAATGGTTTTGTTAATGATGTTGTTTCCTTCTTCAATGGTTTTGTCAGTGATGTTGTTTCCTTCTTCAATGGCTTTGTTGATAACATGGAGTAGAAGATGCTGAAGCTCTTTCCCATCTCTCCAACCATGAACCTCTGCTTTTATCTTATTGGAATTTTTTGAAACCAAATCACACAATGGAAAATCTGTTCTTGCCATCAAATAATCACTTTCTTTTAGCTTCAGACTTGGGCAAAAATCTCCATTTCCATCTCCAACATAGATCATTTTCTTCTTTCCTGCTTCTGCAAGGGAACTTTGGATCCTTTCAATCACCAAACCCTGTTTGTCATTTCAGAGCTTTTCAGAAAAGGAAAAAACTTCATTCAAACAAATAAATGTGAGAATTAATTGCATGGGCATGAGTAAAAGGATGTTGAGAAATAATGCAATTGCCTTGCACATGTTTGGTGGACAAAGATTGCATCCATGGGAAGACTTCACATAATCATGGTATGGACAGATATTGAGCCTCCCTTCATTGACATGGCTGGGGTTGGCAATGATCTCTGAGAAACAATTCCACACTCCATGATGCTTCAGAATTGTCTCGATAAAGAAAATATTTGCATCACTCACAATCTTCATATCACACCTGAATCCAATTCCATACCAGTAGTTCATTTCTTCATCCAACCATCATTAGCGTGTGTTCATCAATTGAAAATTCATAGAAAATACTCTCTCATCTTCTCCTATTACTGTAAACATTTTACATGAATTGAAGAGTGAAAGAGAAAAAGATAAATACCCAAGGGAATAAGCTGCCTCAATAGCAGGGACAATGCAAGGATGCATTGGAGTCCTCTTCAGAATTTCCACAATGTCTTCGATGGTTTTTCCTTCTGAATGAAGCTCTTTCATCATCTTATCCTGCAAGTTTTAGGAAAAATAAAATCAAAAAATATACATAACCTACGGTTTAGAACAAGAAATGCTGAAAAGTTTAGTACTAGCTAAAACAAAATAAAAACCCAACCATTAGAGGGTTCCAACCAATGGTAGGAAGAAGCTGATAGAACTTTTGAGTCAAGGCAGTGTCATCAAGCACCCAATTATCACTATCACACTCAATGATTGTTGAGTCAAAGTCAAAAATCACTATAATCTCAGCCATTTGAATGCACCAAAAACAAATGTCAGAGATAAATATGCAGTAAGCGGGGAGGGTATTTATAGGCAAAGAAAGTTAAAGGCCACACGACAGCATATTATTATTCAAAGTTTTAATTGATTTATTATTTTAAAATAATCAAATTTTAATTAAATTAGAATAAAATAGAAAAATTGGTTAAATTTTTTAGTTGAATTGAATTTGATAAAAAAAATATCATTTTTTTTCACACAATTTTCTTATAAAAAATATGATATATTTTAGTTTTTTTATTTTATTTTATATTAGTTATATCAATTTTAAATAATAACTATTTTATTTTAATAATTATCCATCTTATATTTTTTAATATATTTTAATTTATGATAATCATAATAATAATTTTTATTATAAAAAAATTATTACTCTAATAAACTTAATTATATATTTATTATATTATAAAAATATTATGAAATATTATTTTATGAAATATGGTTAATCTTTAAATCCTAAATTATTTTCATGATTTAAAAATATTATTATTATTATTAGATATGATACTGTAGTGAGTTAGGAAAAGTCTCTTTCTCTCCACTTTTTCACATTTTATTTTGTTGGGGCAAGTTACTTGGAGAAGATAGTGGTGCATGCCACATGAGACAGATATTTTTCGAACTCCTTTAGATGCAATTTAAGTGTTTGTTACTAAATAATTGTTTAAAATTATACTAATAATTTTTTATTATATATACTTATTTTTTAAAATTTAACTGTATATTTAGATAGAAATAATATTAAAATGATAAAAATATCAATAAAAAATTAATAAATTTATTAAAAATAATAAAAAGCATTGTTTATTTATCGTCCATCTTTCTTTTAAAAAATTAAATGTAAAAATAATTTAATTTTTTAATACTAAAATAAATGAAATATAAAATTCGTATATAATTCTATTTATCGAACATTGATCCGATATATTATATGTAAATATAATATGATAAATATAATAATTATCCATAACATAAACAAATAAAAAAAATGTCCATTAAAGTTGAAAATAAAACATTCGATCATTTATGTGAAAAATAATAATAATAATAATATAAATTCATAAAACTAATATATGAATATCTATACAACTTGATAAATTTCTAATGTCATCAAACAATTTTGACGACTCGTTAAACAACAAAAAACAATGAATTTGCTAAAATAAATGAAACCCTAAATATATAAA